TCTAGGCCCCCTATTTGAAATAAGTGTCTACACAGCACTTATTTTGAAATAGCTATTTCAAATTTGGCGTTAATCCTCGTAGAATGAGGTTTACCAAATTCGAAATAAGTGCTCCACTATTTTGAATTTATTTCAAAATAGCAGTTTGGCTGTGTAGACGCTTGGAAAGTTATTTCAAAATAAGCGATGTTATTTTGAAATAACTTTGCTGTGTAGACATACCCTGACATGGCCCCTGCCTGAGAAGGAAAAAGATATTTCTCACATTCCCCTGGCACACCAGAGCCTGGAGGCAGTGTGTGTGTGCGGGAGGGGGGGGGGAGAGGGACTTAGGCTAGAAGATTTTGTGTGCTCCAGGGATAGTGGGGAGCTGGAGCACCAGTATAGGCTCCCCAATGGTGGGGGGAAGGCCTGAGCCTCAGGGGCTGGATCCAAGCAAGCCAAGGGCTGCATCCGGCCCCCAGGCCTTAGGTTCCCCACCCCTGCTTTAAATCTTCCCCCATGTGTTCCATATTTAGGAATGATAGCATTTGAGAAACATATTTTTTCTATAAAATTGTTCTTTAACACGTAGTAATACAAGTGAGATCATTCTTCCATGTTTTCCTGTTATAAGTGGTGTCCTTATGGAATTCCACTTTACAGTCTCTGGCAATTCAATTTAATCCCTCCCTAGCCTAGAACTGGATATTGGAGTCAGGAGTTTAGCTGTTGGGGCATGACTATCATTTTGTTCTAAATGTCACAGAAGTTTTGGTTGTGTGTAATTTTCAGTCAAATCTCTCTCTCTCTCTCTCCCATTCAGGTCTGAAGCCTGTTGTGTTTCTGCAGCATGGTTTACTTACAGATGGTAGCAACTGGATCACTAATGTGGCTAAAAACAGCCTGGGCTTTATTCTGGCAGATGCAGGCTATGATGTTTGGATAGGAAATAGCAGAGGGAACACCTGGTCTAGAGGTCACAAAACTCTGTCAGTGCTCCAAAAGAAATTCTGGGCTTTCAGGTAGACTATAGTTTGGGAAAAACCATGTGACCAATTTGTTTTATGTTTGTTATGAAAGATTTCACTACTTCAGTGAGAAATGTATAATGAATTAATTTAAAACACCAAAATGTGTCCACTAATATTGAATGCCCAGTTTGACAATTCCACCTGGATTTTTCAGATATGTTAGACACAGCCGGTTGACTTCAAGTCAGGTTCATTTGTAGATGATAAGCATCTAAGAAAATCTGGCACTTGATACATAAGAATATGTCCCTAGAATTAGTGGACACACTAGAATACATAGGTGTTATATTTCGTTGTGGCATGCTTGGCGTTCACTAGGAATTACTAAATTATCTTGAGTACAGGATAAATTCAGTGAAATCAAATGCCTTTTTAACTATACTATGAACTTACCAGAGGACAAAAGTTCAGCATGGTCTTGCTACAATATCTGACACGGTCACTGTCAGACATCACCTCCAAGGACTCTGTTTAACCAAAGCTGCAGCTAACTTGGTTATGACAGCTTTATCTCGAACAACGAATCATCCTTATATACAGGACGGCCTTGCTATGAGTCCAAGATACATTCCAAAAAAACTTGGAATTATAGTGAAACAACTTAAACCGGGGATTTTTTCTCTCTGCAGCTGACTTCCATTTGCACAATTTTTTTTTGCATGACTTAAGAGTAGGGAATGAGAGGACTTATAATACATCAGTTCCTACAAGTGTCAATGACTTTAGTGTGGAACGGATGTATACTGGGGTGACTTATAGTGGGGACTCCCTGTAGTGGAAAAGGGTTTAAACACAGTTCCTTACCTCAGTTTCTGGCCCAGTGTGGATGGGGATATAAACATTAGTAGCAGTTTTGGGGAACAATATGGAAAGTGAATATGCTATGCCTGTTCTGTGGTTCAAAGATTTTTTGGCTGTGTCTAGAGTGCCCCCTCTTGCACAAAAAATATGCAAATGAGGCAAATATCACCATGCTTCATTTGCATAATTAATGAGGCTCCCCTCTTGCGCAAGAACTGTTCTTCCTGAAAGAAAGAGGAAGAACGGCTCTTGCACAAAAGCCTGTTGCACAAAAACAGAGCCTAATTAATTATGCAAATGATTTGCCTCATTTGCATATTTTTTGTGCAAGAGGGGGCTATATAGACATAGCCCTTGTGTTTAGAAGTAGACATTTAGCTCTATTTCACTTCAAGATGGTACTCTTTCCTTTTGTAGCTTTGATGAAATGGCTAAATATGACCTTCCGGCAGTGATTGACTTTATTGTGAAGAAAACTGGACAAGAGCAACTGTATTATGTTGGCCATTCACAAGGCACCACTATAGGTAAGTTAAGGGAAATACTGTGTATCTTTAAGTCTGGAAATAGCTGTCCATTATAAGCTAGATCTCTTCCCTCCACTGTGACATACTCATCTATAGTGCACATATGTACCATTTTCCAGTTCCCTTTGTTTCTGCTGCAGATTTCACAGGCAACCAGAAGACAATTTTTAAGGCAATGTCATGTCCTGGTCACTGTTATCTGGAATTCATATTCTGTTCTTTTCAGAATTGCATGTCATCAATCATTCAATAACCCTGATGCAACTGGAGTATGTAGTTAAGATGCACACCAATGATATATCTTTGGCCTGTCCACATTACGAAGTGCATTAACAACATCTTTCAACTAGCTCTTTATGAAATTCTCAGAGAGAGAAGGAGCATTGTATTTGAATGCCCGTGGTTTACTTTGGCCAACTAACATATTAATATACCATTGCCTTGTTTTATCTCAGATCTAGAACAGGATAGTAGCTGTGTAGTGAGCTGGGGTGGCCACTCACTGACCCAGAGGAAGAAGAACCCATCTCTGAGCCCACGTGGGCTGAGCCGGGTGTGGCCTACCCCTTTAACTCCCCAGAAGCCAAGGGGCGGGGCAGGAAGGATAAAAGCCCAGCCCAGGAGCTCAGAAGGGTCCCAGCCACTGGAGGAAGCAGAAGCCTGCCCTGAGCTCTCACGCCAGAGGTTGAGGACTGGTCTGGACCGCCAGGGCCCTGCTTTGAAGAGGATACCTTCTTTACCCTACTTGAGGGGTCAGATGACGATGACCACGAGAACCAGCAGCCCGTGGGGGGTGGCAGGTAGATGCCCAAGGGGAGTTAGGAAGTGGCCCTGGGGAAACAGGCAACTCTCAGGCAGACCTTATAAAACTTTAGGGTGTCAGTGTGTTGCGGACCCCAGTGGCACCAAGGCTGCCACTGCTAGGGCCTTGGGCTGGGATACGGTGGAGTAGGGAGGGCCTACATGCCCCCTGCCATCCCACATATCAGATAGCAGTCTCCCCACTCCTCACTCATGCTGGGGGAACTGTGTTTTTTGACTGTCCTCCCCTGAACTAGGGCCAGGACCTTACTAACTGTAGGATTGAGTTTGCTTTGCTGCCCTGTCCTGAACCGAGGCTGGGTCCTTGCTGATTGTGGGACTGAGTTTGTGTTGCTGGCTGCCCTGTACTCAGGGCCCGGGGTTTGAAGGAAGCTGCTAGACATTTATTTCCAGGCCTGAGCACAGGTCAGGGACCCAGGACTCAAGGCAGCCGGCTTACAAGCTGTTATGTAGTAAAATAAACCATTTTTATCTTTGAGTGGCCAGGCTCTTAGAAATTCAGTTAAAGGTTTTTTGGATGGACAGTAGGAGCCCGCTCGGCATTACAGTAGTTATTTGGGTTCTTCAGTGCTAACAAGAGTGATAAACACTTAATTTATGTGCTCGCCAAAGTAAATCTGAGCCTGGCAATACAGAAGAAGGACATATGGGGCTATGTCTACACAGCAGTGGTAAATCGGAAAAAGATATGCAATTTTCAGTATGCAAATTGCGTATCTTTTTCTGATTTACTTTCACAAAAAGGCTTTTTTTTTAAAATTTGGTGTGTCTACACGGCACCAAATTTCAGAAAAAAGTGCTCTTTTGACACATCCCTTGTTCCTTGTAGAACGAAGTTTACAGGGATGGCGAAAGAGCACGTCCGCTTTTTCAATATTTTTTCCGGTATCCCAGAAAAGCACTGAGGTCTAGACGTAGCCTGAGTGAGGAGGTTCCATTCTGACAGTTGTTTTTCTAACATAATCACACTTTCTGAAATCTGAAACGCACACTCAGGATGCTACTTTCAAATCATCAAAACTTTGTTTTAACACAGTGTTAAGCAAGGGAAAGGCATTACATTCAAGTTAAATTCACATGAAAAAAGTTTCAGACTGCAAGTGTCATAATCTCATGCTCAAGCTTCAAAGGGAACTTGCTGGTTTTTGAGTCTTTTGAAAATTGCTCCCTTGCTCATCACTTCAAGGTGTGGCCCACAAATGCCGCTACAAAATATTTATATTAAAAACAACCTGGCTACGTCTACATTGGCATCCCTTTCCGGAAAAGGGATGCTAATGAGATGAGTCGGAATTGCAAATCCGCGGGGGATTTAAACATCCCCCGCGGCATTTGCATTTACATGGCTGCCGCCTTTTTTCCGGCTTGGGGATAAGCCGGAGAAAAGCGCCAGTCTAGACGCGATTCTCCGGAAAATAAGCCCTTTTCCGGAGGATTTCTTATTCCTACTTTCAAGAATAAGAAATCCTCCGGAAAAGGGCTTATTTTCCGGAGAATCGCGTCTAGACTGGTGCTTTTCTCTGGCTTATCCCCAAGCCGGAAAAAAGCGGCAGCCATGTAAATGCTAATGCCGCGGGGGATATTTAAATCCCCCGTGGATTTGCAATTCTGACTCATCTCATTAGCATTCCTTTTCCGGAAAGGGATGCCAATGTAGACGTAGCCCCTGTGTTTCCAATTGATCCTTTAAAAATTTTCAAAATGTATGTTCTGATTACAGTTTGTAAATAGTTTTTACAAAAAATAAACGTGTTTTAGCTCCACAGTCATAACTTGGACATCTCTTTCTTCATTTTCAGCTTTCATAGCATTTTCAACCATGCCCCAGCTGGCTCGAAGAATCAAAATGTACTTTGCCTTAGCTCCTGTAGCCACAGTTAAATATGCCAAATCCCCATTGACAAAGCTTGCATTGCTTCCCAATTCAGTTATCAAGGTATGTGATTTCTTCAGACAGAATTTGCCAAAGTTAGTAGGAATTTTTGGTGAGGATTCTAAAATGAGTTAAGGAAAGCCTTATAATATTCAATTATTTTTAGTATACATCCTGCGCCAGAGTTAAAGCTAGTCCCATATCTTAATCCATAATCTGTGTTTACTGTGCCAAAATTTATCCTTAAAGTATGATATGGCAGAATTAGAAAACCAATTAGAAGGATAGGAAGACTTCAGTGCCAGGGGAGAATGAAAAAATCTTGGACTAATCAGAGAGTGTATGAATAAAAGGAGAAATGAGAATCGCATAAAATAGTAAATGGTGTAGAGGTAGTAACAAAGCATTACTACTTACCCTTTCTCGTAATACAAGAAAAAGATAGCAGTCAGTAAAACTAAAGGGCATCAAATCTAAAATTGTGAATTGAAAATGTTTAGCAGCATTCCAAGTAAGTTTTAGATGTTTCTATGGGTAATAAGGATATCCAGTTATTCTAGGTAGGATACAAAATAAGGGATATCAGTCTTATTGCATCAGGTCATAAACTAATCATGAGTTGGCATGAGTCTAGAAGTTACTTCCCCCACTGGCATGATTCTCCATTAAGAGAGTTTTAGTATCTTCCTCTGAAGCCTGTGTTACTGCAGAGACCAGTAACTGGATTAGTTGGACCACTAGCCTGATCTGGCACAATAATGCCAATAACTTTTTCCAAGAGAATGTCATAAAACTTTGTTTTAACACAGTGCTACAGAGTTTTGTCGACAAAAGTGGACTTTTGTCGACAAAACTATACCTGCATCTACACTACCACTGAGTTCTGTTGACATAACGTCGACAGAACTCAGCAGTTTTGTCGACGCTGGTAAACCTCATTTTACGAGGCATAATGCCTTCTGTCAACAAAGTTCTGTCGACAGAAGGTGTTATTACATCTACACTGTCCTTTGCGTCTACACTGTTATGTCGACAAAGTGGCTTGCTTTGTCGACAGAACTGGATATAGTCTAGACGCTCTTTGTCGACAAAAGCTTTGTCGACAGTATCTGTTGACAAAACTTCTGTCGACAAAAGCCTGTAGTCTAGACGTACCCATAGAATCATAGAGCAGGAAGAGACCTTAGAAGGCCAATATGTGCAATAGTTTAGTAGGCTTTTCAGGTTGCAAATACCAAAGAAGGAAAGGAATTATTTAGGACTCTCCAAAGAAATTGGTAAGAATTAATTAAAGATTAGAGAATAGTAATTGAGAAGTAGTCTAGACACACCCTAAAAGAAGAATTCTTAGCAGTGAGGACTTTTGGACTAGGGAGTTGCCTTCCAAGTGGTAGAACCAACCTCACTTGATTTATTTAAATGTACATTGAACACTACATGTCCCCTATATGACATCTGAGTCCTAGTATTAATAGAGGGAAGGGAAGATTTCATTTCCGATTTGTGTAACTGTAATAAATAATTTTTGTTGTCATTTTACAGATTTTATTTGGCGATAAAGATTTCTTACCCCACAGTTATTTTGGTGAAGTGGTTGCTAATTCATTTTGCAGACAGGATATATTAGCAGAGATTTGTGGTAATGTTCTGTTTGTGCTGTGTGGATTTAATGAGAAGAACTTAAATATGGTACGTATAATCTACGGTTATTCCTTGGGTATTTTTTTTGAAAGTCTGATTTTTTTTCTTGAAATTATCTGCATTGATTTGTGATAAATAAATAAGTGGAGCCATTTCCAAAATGAAACTTCTTGTGAAATATAAATGTTTCTTTTCAGAGCCGAGTAAATGTGTATACAGCACATTCCCCAGCTGGAACATCCATACAAAATATGATTCATTGGAAACAGGTAGAATTTCAGAAACCTAAAGTGCTCTTTAATCATAATGTGACAGTAATATGTGGTATTTGGCCATCAATCCATTTTCAATCTTCCATACTATTCTGTCAGGAAACACTGGCATTCAGAATAAACTATCAATCTAGATGGCATTGTACATGGAAAGAGAACTTTACAATGACATTGAAGTATTTTCAGAATAAATTTCCAATCCAGATTGCATTGTTTCATAAAGAAATTAATCCTATTTTTAATGGCACGACATAGTATATTTTGCAAACCAGACCCTTGTCAGTATCTTAAAAATATCTTATATGTACAGCAACTTTACAGGGCAGCGCTGCTATTAAGGCCGTGTCTACAGTTACCTGAGTGTGAAGCTGCTGTGATCAATTTAGTGGGGATGGAGTTAGTGGGTCTGGGGATGACCTGCTAAATGAACAGTAGAGCACTGTTTGGTCAACTCCAGTAGTCCACCAGAATGAAAAGAGTAAGGTAAGTCAACTTGAGAGTTTCTCCAGTTGACACAACATGGTATAGACCAGTGTTTCTATATACTGTAGTATAGACATGGTATAGGCCAGTGGTACAAGTACTATGGTATAGACAAGTGGTATGAGTACTTTTAGGGGTACTCAAGAGAAGTCTGGGGGGTACGTCAATTCAACTGAAATTTGGAGAAAACTGAATTTTTGTTTTAAGTTTTACAGCGCTTTATTATTTTTGTACTTTTTACACCCAAAAATTTCATTGCCCGCCTGGCTACGATTAAGTTGTTTAAACAAATGTGTTGCAATGCTAGAAAAAAATGTTGTGTGTCTGAAAACTGTAGGTACTGGGGGTACTTATAATATTTTTTTAAAGGGGTACTTTATAAAAAAAGGTTGAGAAACACTGGTATAGATACTACAGTAAATTGACATAAGATACATTAGCTTCAGTTACATTATTCGCATATAGCTGAATAGCACAACTTAGGTGCACTTACTGTGGAAGTGTAGACAAGGCCTTAGGTTTCTCTTTCCTTGAGTAAGATGCCAGCCCACACACTTTAATGGGAATGGGGAAAACAAAATATCATTTTTTTTCTGTCTGTCATGCCCTGTGTGTGTGTACATATGTGTGTGTGTGAACATATGTGTGTGTGTGGATGGATGGATGTTGTATAAAAATATATAAGAACGGCCATACTGGTTCAGACCAACGGTCCATCCAGCCCAGTATCCTGTCTGCGGACGGTGGCCAGCACCAGATGCCCCAGAGGGAGGGAACACAACAGGTTATCCTCATGTTATCCCTCTTCTGTCACCCATTTGCAGACAAACAGAGGCTAGGGACAGCTTTCCTACCCATCCTGGCTAATAGCCATTGATGGACCTAACCTCCATGAATCTATATAGCTGTTTTTTGAACCCTGTTAAAGTCCTAACCTTCATCACATCCTCTGGCAAGGAGCGCTGAGTGAAGAAAAACTCCTTTTTGTTTGTTTTAAACCTGTTGCCTACTAATTTCATTTGGTGATCCCTAGTTCTTATATTGTGGGAATAAGTAAATGACTTATTCACTTTTTTTCATGCCAGTCATGATTTTAAAGACCTCTATCATATCCCCCAGTCTCCTCTTTTCTAACCTGGAAAGTAAAAGTCTTTTTAATCTGCCAATATATCTTTTTTGAGATGAGGCAACCACATTTGTATGCAGTATTCAAGATGTGGGCGTACCATGTTTTTATACAGAGGTGATAAGACATTTTCTGTCTTATTCTCTATCCCTTTTATGTTTCCTATCATTCTGCTTGCTTTTTTGTCTGCCGCTGTACACTGAGTAGATGTTTTCAGAGAATGATCCACAATGACTCCAAGATCTCTATCTTGACTAGTTGTAGCCAAATTAGTCCTCATCATATTGTATGTATAGTTGGGATTATTTTTTCCAATGTGCATTACTTTACATTTGTCAACATTACATTTAATTTGCCATTTTGTTGCCCAATCACTTAGTTTGGTGAGATCTTTTTGAAGCTCTTCACAGTCTGCTTTGGTCTTAACTAACTTGAGCAGTTTGGTATCATCTGCAAATTTTGCTACCTCACTGTAAACATATCGCTAAATCATGTATAAATAAATTGAATAGGATTGGTCCCAGGACAGACCCTTGGTGGACACCACTAGTTACCTCTCTCCACTCTGAAAACGTACCATTTATTCCTACCCTTTGTTTCCTGTCTTTTAACCAGTTATCAGTCCATGAAAGGACCTTCCCTCTTATCCCATGACAACTTACTTTTCTTAAAAGTCTTTGGTAAGGGACACTATAGAGGTGTAGTAGACATGGTGTAACCACATCCACTTGTGGCTATATGTCTGTTGTAGAGCACGCGTGGTGCTTCTTCCATTCATTACAGTTACCTCAGAATATATGTGATAACCTTGTTTTCCTTCAACTGCTGTCTGCCTATACTTCACCCGTCAGATTTTTAAAGCAGTTGGAATTATTAGTTTCTACAGGTGGAAAAAAACTGCAATCATATGAAGTAATGAACCTATCTTTCCCTCACAATTATGCTAATGTTGTTCATTAAAACTATGTACATTTGATTTTAATGTTTTAATCTAGGCAATTAAAAGTGGTGAATTTAAAGCTTATGACTGGGGAATCCTGTCCAACTATGTGCACTATGATCAGGTATGAGGAAAAAAAATTTCTCGTATTTAAAAAAAATGGAGAGGAGAGGGAAGATAATTTAAGAACCAAATTCAAAATATATTTGAAAATAGAATCAGTTAGTTAGTCTCTTCTTCCAGCTAGAATGTCTAACCTTGCATATTAAAATTAATGTTCATTTTATGTTACTGATTATTTAAAAAAATTAGGAAAACTTATGTCCCAAAATGATGCAATGAATTTTCTGGTTCAAAAATCAAATGCAAACTCTGAGGAAATTCAAAACTTCTGATTGACAGCTCCCTTGTCCTCAGTACTATCCTTTCCAGAACTAGAACGAATCATTATAAAGTTGTTGTTATTTTTCTCTAATAACATGAAACTTTTCTTTTATCAACTCTTCTTTTAAAGGTTAATCCTCCCTTATACAATGTGACAGACATGCAAGTGCCAACTGCGATGTGGAGTGGTAGAAATGATTTGCTTTCTGACCCTAGGGATGTTGCCCTATTGCTCCAACAAGTCACCAATCTTGTTTACTTCAAGGACATTCCTGATTGGAACCATCTTGATTTCATCTGGGGCCTTGATGCACCTAAGCGCATGTATATTGAAATCCTTGATTTGATGAAGAAAAATCAATGAAAATACTGTGGCTGTAGGAGCGAAGATTTGATTAATTTCTGTTGATATCTATCTTGTTTTTTTTAGTGAACTACAAAGTATTTGGCCAAAATGGTTTATATGTACTTTAATGAGATTCTATTAATTATCTTAAACATTAGGTTAGCAAAGTCAAAGAAAGTAATCAAACTCACAACATACATTTTTAAAACACCCCACACAAGTATTTAAGTCTTCTTCTTTCAAAAGTAAGTGTCATAAATGAAACGAATCATATTTTGATGACTTTTCTATACAATGGATTAAATGCATAGGTCACAACTGATTATGGGGCTAGACAAGACATGCAATAATAGTGTGCAAATTCAGAAAAGCTGTTACTTAATTTTAAATATGTAATTCCTTTGATGTCTAAGGAACTACACTGATTTTAATGCAGATGAGGGTATAGGCCAGGTTTAATTTCACCTAGAGTCAGAGTCAATATTCCTGTCTCATGACCAAAATATATTCTTCTCTAATACCAGTAATTTCCAATACACACCATGAAAAGATCCAATAGGCATGTCTTTTCATTCTTTCCTTGAAGCAGAAGTCAGTGGGGAAAAAAGGCTATTATAAGGAGATTGTTCTATATGTGTGTCTAGACTACAGGGTTTTGTCGACAAAAGTGGACTTTTGTTGACAAAACTATACCTGTGCCTACACTACCGACGAGTTCTGTCAACAGTAAGTTGACAGGACGCAGCAGTTTTGTTGATGGTGGTAAACCTCAGTCTACGAGGAATGACGCCTTTTTTTGACAGAGTTATGTCGAAAAAAGGCGCTATTACATCCACACTGTGCTTTTTCAAAAGAGAGTGTCTAGACTCTGTTGAAAAAACAGTTTGCTTTGTTGACAGAACTGGCTGTAGTCTAGATGCTCTTTTTCAACAAAGCCTCTGTCGACAAAAGCCTGTAGTCTAGACGTACCCTATTTGTTGAGCTGGTGTGTGCCATTAACTAAATAAAACTCCTTTGTAATCTATTATCTCCATTTACGTACCTTTTGAATTCAATAAAAATAAAGTTCTTTAAATGTTCAAATTATTAAATGAATCTTTTTGTTTCATATGAGGATCAGAAAGAATCTAATATTATACTCTTGAATAACAAATAGCAAGCCAAAGTGATGATTACAAGATTCTACTATCTGATGCTCAATTCAATGAGGATTTTTTTTCTCTGGAAGTGGGAGACAGGGGAGGAATTACGTGAGGATTACCTTTTGTGATCCCTCCCTCTGGGGTATCTGGTATTGGCCACTGTCGGCAGATAGGATACTGGGCTAGATGGATCTTTGGTCTGACCCAGTATGGCCGTTATTATGTTAAGACACAATATTAACATGTAGCCTATATTAACATTGAATCAATATTAGTTTTCTGCCAAAAACTTAATTCCAAGACATAAAAGTTTATTTTACTTTATCACAACACTTAAAACAGACTCCAAAATCAAAAGGAGAATCCTGGTCATTATTGTTTAAACTGTGAATTTCTTGAGACTGTACATCATTTAAAAACTTTAAATACTTTAAAACTTTATTTTGCTTATTAAATCCTAAGGCTATGTCTAAACTGGCATGATTTTCTGCAAATGCTTTTAACGGAAAAGTTTTTCCGTTAAAAGCATTTGCAGAAAAGAGCATCTAGATTGTCATGGATGCTTTTGCGCAAAAGCACTTTTTGCGGAAAAGCATCCGTGCCAATCTAGACGCGGTTTTGCACAAGAAAGCCCCGATCGCCATTTTCACCATCAGGGATTTTTTGCGCAAAATAGTCCTCCCCCCTCTACGCTGGCCCTCTTGTGCAAATACATTTGCGCAAGAGGGCTTATCCCTGAGCAGGAGCATCATAGTATTTGCGCAAGAACACTGACAATCTTACATTAGATCGTCAGTGTTCTTGCGCAAATTGAAGTGGCCAATGTAGACAGCTGGCAGCCGCTTTTGCAAAAAAACTTGCCAGTCTAGACGCAGCCTTAAGAGACTAGCTACATTTGAACAAAATTGTGTCTGCCTTTTAAAGCAGTCAGAACATTTGTACATGCATAGGAATCTGAGAACATTTCTTTCCTCCATTGCCACACACATACATGGAGAACTAAAGATGTTTTCAGTAACAATCATCTATGGGATAAAACAAATTCTAGTGGAAAACAAATGTGTCTGAGAATTATCAAGAGTTAGATGCTACATTTCAGTCTTAGTTATACAGGTTGGCTCCCCCTGGTTTTGCATCCTTGAGACCTGACCGGTCCCAAATGAGGGAATTTTGCCTTCCAGGACACGTCCCCTTCCTCTGGTTTGGCTCTGCTCCAGCCCTGCTGCTCCAGGACTTGGCTTTGGCCTGCTTCTACCAGCTGGCTGGGGCTCTCTGGGGACAGGCTCCACTTCTGTCCTGCCTGGCTGGGGCTTTCAGGGGTTGGAGCTCCGCGACTGCCCCACTGCTGCCGCGCTGGGTTGGGGCTCTGCAGCTGTCCCGCTTTGCCTAGCTGGGGCCCCGTGGGAGGGGGCACAGCAATCCCGATGGTGGGGCTCCTCGCTGCTGTACTCCCAACTGGCTCAAACTCCTGGGTGCCAGAGCTCTCTGGTCCACCAACATCCATGATTGTGCCGGACCATGGATGTTGCTGGACAAGAGAGTCCCAGATTTAGGAGGTTCAACTTGTATTGTTCACTACTGCTTACATGAAATAATAGAATAGAAAATACTTACATACTAAAAACCACTCCAATAACAGAAGCATCTTAGGGATGGCTGTAATATTTTTAATTTTTTAATTTGTTTCCAGTGTTTGCTGCTGTCAAACTCTGTAGCTAAAATGCTTTAAATGGATGCTGTCAGTGTTCCCCCTAAACTGCAGGGAGCCCTGAGTGTCTTGACTGGATGGGGCTGATTAATCATCTATGAAGCTGGGCAGCTTATAGGGAACACTGCTAACTGTAACTATGTTTGGCTAGTTGCTTCTGAAAAACTCACTTTTGAGTTTGTGCGCCAGATGATTTTGAACATTTTACTGTGATAATTTTGAAAGAGTTGCTCTTGGGTGTGTAGACTGCTAAGAGATATTTTTCCTATCCTATCCTTTCCTTGACATATTTTTAATGGTATGCTAGTAATGCAAGATGCCTACAGGATTAAATGTATTTGTCTTATATGACCCAGCTTTAGCAGAAGTAGGGTTAAGATTTATTTCTTATTTCCATTGTTATTTTCTAAGATATGTATGGTGTAAAGATTATTAAAGGCCTTTGCAGTTAGTTTGACGGTTACTTTGAGACCGTTACTCAATTTGGCCTGAACAAACATAAACAGAATCTGCAAACTCCAGCAAACTGAATCTGCACACCCCACAGACTGAAGCACACAGATTTCTTGCACCTAACTGCAATGCTTCCTGTTCTTTTCTCTATTCCAGGAGTCAGTCCAAGAAGATCTCACGTCTTCTCCTATGCATATTAATCAACCCCCCTACTCCCAATATCTCTTCCAATCAATTAAAGGTACCCACCTATATCTATAGGTACCCACCTATATAGGTACCCAGATATCTTAGGGTGCCAGGCCCAACTTTGGTTAAGGGGTTGGACATCTGGGACATTTTGGCACCAAAAGGGGAATATAAACCCAGGGATTAAGGAAGTCAGGCTGTTGCAGTTGTCGCTGCTAAAGCCTACTCTGGAATGTATACTCTTCTCTCTATCGAGGTCAGAAACTAAGTTCTATTCTTTTTCTATCTTTATACTTCTGTCTTGCTTCATTTTTTCTGTCTAAGTCTTGCTTCTGAGTATCTCATACTCCACCTGCACCAAGGCTCCTCAGGTGAAGGAAGGCTGGTCCTTCCACGCCCAGCCTTTGGAGGAAAAGAACTCGTGAGTATGAAATTCTGATAGGTAACTAAGATCTGTATTCTTAGATAAGTCCAGTTTGATTTTGTTAATGCCATCCACAGAAGAGATTCAGTTAATCTGTATACTCAGTGCTGTATTTTTGTGGTATTTGTTATAGTTATTCCCATGGCAATAAAACTTATTTTAATTGCATTTCCTGATTTGAAATGTGACTGTCATTCGGCACCTGCAGACCATCCAGAGGGGGAATCTTATATCGTTCTACCAGCTTGTAAAATGGGGGTATGTGTACACTGCAAAGTTAATTCAAACTAACAGCCGTTAGTTCGAATTAACTTTCATAGCATCTATACATACAAGCCGCTAGTTCGAACTTAATTCGAACTAGCGGAGCGCTTAATTCGAACTAGGTAAACCTCATTCTAGGAGGACTAACACCTAGTTCGAATTAAGGGCTGTGTAGCCACTTAATTCAAACTAGTTGAAGGCTAGCCCTCCCCAGCTTGCCCTGGTGGCCACTCTGGGCCAAGCCAGGGAAACTTTTCTGCCCCCCTCCCGGCCCCAGAGCCCTTAAAGGGCCACGGTCTGGCTACGGTGCTTGTGCCAGTTGCAAGCCTTCCAGCACCCAGCCAGCAGTATATGCAGCATATGCAGTATATGCAGCAGTGTATACACCCTCATGCTTCAGCACATAAATGCTGACACTTAGGGCTTGATTTAGGAAGAAACTTCCCCAGGGAAAGATTATTTTGTAGTCCCAAAACTTTGTCTGCCAGACTGAAGAGCCTTTTATTCAATATTTCTTTCCCTTGTAGAAGCTTGTAGGTTGCAATCAAGTCATGCTTCATTCTCTTTAAATTAAATAGATTTAGCATGCCCTCCTTCGGATCAATCCAGTTCTGTCCACTGTTAGTTACTAAGCTGTAAATCTGTGGTCATCAACCAGTTCTGAAGAAGTAGCCCCTGCTATAGCAAACTAGCCACACTCAACCAGCCAAACAGCCACATGTGGTTAGTGGCTAGTGTGCAGGACCCCACTGCTATAGATAATTAGTTAGAGCAAATTGGTTTGGTTAAAAGTGAATTAGGACTTCATACATTCATCTTTAGGATATTATATATTCCCCCCGCATTCTTTTATATAAAAGACATGACTGTGCCAATGTAGTATGGAGTGCTGGACAGGGCTAGTTTGCACACTCAACGGATGTTGTTCTATTATTCTCTCAAATAAAAAAGTTTATTGTAAGAATCATTCTTACTGGAACCACTGGGATTTCATCTGAAGTCTCAATGCACCCAAGCTCTTGGACAACGGAGTCAGAGATGAAGTTTATTGATGGAAAAGTATCGATTAAACCTCATCATGCTGTTTGGGCCACATGGTTTGGTTTGTCCCTGTCACCAGTACTGCAGGTGTGTCAGTGGATGGGCCAGATAAAACCTTGGTTCAATTTTCAGCAGCAATCATAAAAAAATCACACACAAGGTTAAAATGCATAATGAATAGTGTGGCAAATACATTGATAGTCACACCCAGGTAGTACTGTTGCAACAGTCTTCAAAGTTCTTTTTTTTTTTTTTTTTAGCATGAGAATAAGTTTTTTACTTTTGGAATGACATGCTGTGCTGGTGTTAGTGTTGGCTAGGCAAAGTTGTTTTGCGTAGAGGCCGTTTGGGGATAGATGAGAGAGAAACCTGGGCGCTTCACTAGGGTTCGGTGTAGGCAGGATTGCATTCTGAGATTAGCCGCTCTTGTAGAGTTAAGTTTCTTGGAAGAAGGGATTGCGTTGCATGCTGTTTGACCATCTC